TGGAAAAATGAGGCCAATGTGGAAGTGTGAAATCCTCTGGAGACGTAAGGCGCATAGCTGACATGATTGACGCGTGGGAGCGATGTAACCGTTCATCAAGAGCTTAAAACCGCCTCAGCTGCAGCTCTCAGCCTGTTGTTAGGTTGACTGAAAGTTAGGCTGGGACGGCATCCAGCATGGCGGCTGCTGACGATGAGCCTCCAGCACCCCCTGCAGGAACAGATGCCTGACGTCACTCAGGCTTCATCCATTCATATTTACAGTCTGTGAGTAAAGAATGGAGCCAAGTTTAAGGACACGCCCACCTAGAAGCTCATTGATTCTGCCCACAGCAAGCTTCCACAAAGTGTCACTATTTTGCTGAAGGAGGCCGTAACACAGGCATAAAGAGAGCTTAAATACCTGCAAGTAAGACTTTGACAGTTCAATAGCAACAATACTGTTGCAGGTCAGAGCTGGTGAGGAAAAGCAGAGGGAGACCGGAAATCTCACAGCTTAAAGACGTCATATTCTGACCTTTTTGGGGTTCATTAAAGACGTCATATTCTGACCTTTTTGGGGTTCATATATTTAATCTATGTACCTACTAAAGTATGTTCACAATAGCTAAAGTTCTTAAAAAGTGTCTGTTTTCATGAACTGCCGCTCCATGCAGCCGGCTCGCTTCTGACTCTCTCTCTAAGGCTCTGAAGTGCCCACGTTCAGAGTCCCCACGTGTGCCAAGTCTGATCTGATTGGTCGGCCTGTCGGCTCTGCCGTAATTGGTCAGTCGCTCAGCACGGTTCTCGGAAATGTCCCGCCCCTTTTACCATATTGGGAATGCAGCCACTCTGGCTCCGAGGGGAGAAAAAACATTAACACTGCCCACAGCAGGAACTCCTGAGCTGGTGGTGGGGAGGGCTTTGGTGCCTTGCTCAAGGACACCTCAGCACAGCTCAGGAGGTAAGTGTGAAATCAGTACAGCTCAAGTTGTCACCTCATTACTACAAATTGAGGCATCTAACACTTAAACTTGAAAAACACAGTAAAAACAGATTATTTTAGTTAAGAACAGGCAGCAAAATACACGAGACAGTACTGACATTATCATGACTCCAGAAAATAGACAAACAAAACAACAACAAATACTGTAAGTCATTAAGGGGGGGGGGGGGGGGGGGGGGACAAGACAAAAAAATACATACATAGGTTAGGTGTCTTGCCCAAGGACACGTGGGGCTGCAGGAGCTGGGGATCGAACCCCCAACCTTCTGGTTGAGCTCATCTTATACATAACAACAGATGATCTCAAGATGACACTGTCTTTGAAATTGTTACATTGCATCTTTGCCATATTGCCTGCAGAGGGCGCCACCGTGCCTCTGTGTTTGGTCATGGATCTGCTGAACTGTTCCTGTGATTTTGTGCACCCTGGTTAGAGCTGGAACCTCCTCTCTGCAGTTCAACAGAGACACAGTGTGCAGCCTCTGAAAAGATCAGACCCTCCTATCATCCCCTCTCTCACATTAAAAACTTAATGAGGGGAGAAACTGTTGCAGGGCATTCACAGTGGACTACATTTGATTGAGCAAGCTGGACCTGGTGAAATGGTAACTGGGTTGAAATGTGTGAACTTTATATGAACGACTGACTCAGGTTACAGTTCACACGTGGACAGGTTTTTGCCTTTAAGTCAAACAGTGAAAATAGCAGACAATGAAGAATAACTTTGTAACACATCTGATGAAAAAACAGGACGGGGTTTTTATATTTGCACACTTACATGGTTGTTTCAACATATTTGTTCACTGTCTTGTTAATCTGCAGAATGGAGGTAGTCTCACACTCTAATTCTGCAGGACATCTTGATGTTCAGTCGTTTGAGTCCAGTTCAATCAGATGTGAAGCCCCTCATCAGAGACACAAGCAGAAGATGACAGTGTCAGTGTCAAATGTCATTATTGCTGATGTTCAAAAAATTAACCTGTCTGCAGCCAAGTTCAAAGAAGACAAAGAGAAACCAGCTTTATATAGTTAAATTGAAAGAAGGGGGGTGGGTATCAGTAAGCCCTGTTGTTGGGCAGAATGTAGCGTTTAATGCTAAACATAGTCTAGACAGTGTTTGTGTTTTAATTCAAAGAAGGGCAGCAGGTCTTCTTGTAAAAAAGGAAAGTTCATGCAGAGGTAAAGTTCTTCTCCGAAGAAGAACAGAACCTGCGGGGGGGCAAAGTGTGACTTGAACAACATTACTTTTGGAAATGTTGCAGACAGGTTGATTTTTAGAACATCAGCAATAATGATATTTCCATGACAACAGCTGTGCTATTGAAAAACTTGAGGTCATTTAAAATGCCGGTCCACAATTCATTTTTACATCAACTCGTCAGAGCTCACGGCAATTAGCAACCCGTTGTTGATCCTTGTTTCCTTTCCTCTTCTTTCTTCTTTTCTTGTCTTGTTTCTTTGTTTCATCTCGTATTTTCTTTTCTTGGTCCCTCTTTCCTTTTCTTCTCCAACTTAGAAAAGAAGAAAACTGTCCGCTCTCATAATGTGTCCACAAACACAGCAGCTTAATGACCTCCCCTCTCCTTTCCACTTCTTTTATGTATTAATAAAAAGTCTGTGGTCATCGTGTAGTTCTATTAGCTGTGATGTCACTGAGCTGTACGCTCCATATTAAACTCAGGCCTCGGCCGTGTGCTCTGACACCGTCACACAGAGCGGAGATAAGTAGACACATACAATAGAAATTAATTCAGCATGTTTAAGTGCAGCTGTCTGCTCCACTGAGCAGGTGCTGCCCCCCCCCCCTCCCAACATAACCCCCACCCCTCTCCATCCATTCATACATCCACCTCTCTGTTTCATGTTGTAATGCAGCTACACGTCATGTGAGCAGCTCTGTAATAAATCAGCTGCTGATCAATAAATGATGATCTCAGTGAGTCATATTCGGGAGGATGGACTGCAAAAACTCAAATCTTATGAATCGTATTTTAGTTAAAAAAAACAAAAAAACGTCCTATTCCAATTATTATGAGCCACATTCACCTGACAAGTCCAGATAAACATTGTGTTTCAAAATATGAAAAGTATAAAAATGCTTGTAATAAGTATCTGTCAATGCAGCGTAATTAGATTTATTTTTACGAAAATTTGGGACAAACTCTTGATGGTAAGATTAGGTTTTTTTTGCAGTGTATAACTGGAATAGACGAATTTGAGAAAGTGAGATTTTAAAAGGATAAAAAAATAAAAATAAAGTCTGTTTCTGGTAAGAGAGCGTTGCGTGATCCACACATACTGCATATCTTAAAATAGACGTTTCATCACTTATGGCCTGCAGCCTTTTTTCTGCAGGATAAAAGCCAACAACAATCCTGACTCACATGCATGTGCCTCCTCAAATACATCAGTGTACGACACTTAACGAGTTAACAAGCCAGCTAAGGTAAGAGCAGACACACTTTTCTGTTAATACGTACCACCATATAAGAAGTAATACTACGTATTTCACCCACACAAAAAACTGGAGCACTAGTTGGATGGGCGGTTTGTACAATAATTCACTCAGCAGGCCGTGATGTCTAATACTTTGAATGTCTCCAGAAATCACAAACACACGGTGAAATTTGAAGTCACTGCCTGTACATTAATACATGCATGGACAGCACGTCTCCGTCTACTTCTGGTGTACAAAAGTGAAGCCAAAATACTCCCATGACAGGTGCTCACTTAAAGCGCTTGTGAAGTTATTTGGAGACAAGACATGTGCAGAAGGAGACATGTAACCTCTGGTGTTAATAAATGAAACCAATGCAGACGTGCAAAAAACTGCAGTTCCTCGATTGTCCATCAGAGGCCGCCTCAAAATAAGCCCAGAAGTCTCATTAACAACCCCATATTAAAATGCTACAGCATGGTTAAAAACAACAACATGTTTTTGGTCTGTATTGCTCATTTCTTTACACACTGAAGGGAAGGTGATATTTTATACAACGCCCAATTTTGATGATATTAAGGCTAAAAGTTACGCATAATTAGGGGCGTGGTTGATTTGACTGACAGGTGTTTGCCAGGAGGCTAAAACCCCGCCTCAGCTCTGAGTCTTTACTCGTTGCCAGGTTGATCAAAAGCACGTTTCAGACAGCATTTCCAATGTGGTAATAACTTATCTTTTAATGTCTCTGCTGAAACAAATTGGTGACATCAATAAGACCTTGTGGGGCGAGGAATGACTCACTTTTAGCATAAGCCTCTAGTGGCAACTTTAGAAACTGCAGTTTTTTGGCACTTGGCAAAAGACACCGAAATGTTGAAGAATCTGTGACCTGCTATCAAAAAGTGGTTTATGAAAATGTTCAAATTTAGGAGAAAATGTCATGCCAATATTTGCAGGTTAAGCAGAGAAATGGGGGAAGAAAAGGGGGATATAAAGCCCCCGAGCTTTGCCTCAGGCCTTGAAAAACCCAGAGTCAACCCCCCCATCTATCATGGTTTTTTTCTATCCTTCATCTTTAAGCCCTCCCCCTTCACCCCGGGGATTCTCTCTCCTCTCCATCCTTTCTCCTTTTCCTCCACTTTCACTTTTTCTGTCTATCCTCCATCCTTCTGATTTTTGACTTTTTGGCTTTTCATCGCTCTCCTCCCACCCGGTCACCACCTCTTTCTCCCCTCCCTCCATCCTGCCAGTGGCGTCCACACACCGACCGAGTGCAGACTCTCCTGTTGTCAGTCACATTCCCAGCTAACAGACGACGGCGGCAGCAGCAGCAGCAGGAGGAGCGGAGTCGGTAATCCCCCCACCCCCCCCACCCTCCACCCTCTCAGTCCACCCCACCCCTTTACAATAGAAAAAGCAGGCAGCAGGAAGGGAACAAAAACCTCGCGGGACACCTGTGATGCTGGATACCCCTCTTTTGGGGGTTTATTGAAGCTGGATTTGAGCTCTAACTCACACCTGAATAGTGGATGATGAAGATGAGGAGCGGTGGTGTTTGAGAGGGGGATGTAGACGCTGAAACAAGCGAGAAAATCCACCTCTTTCCACGGTGACGGAGCGGTGCACGGCAGCGGCGCCACCAGCAGCAGCATCAGTCGGTCGGCGGATGGAGATGAAGGCGGAGGGATGCTGGTGATGTTATAGGCAGGTTGCTGCAGGCTCGTGCCGCATTGCCTGGCCGCCCGCGAGCGACACCGGGGAGACGGGTGATGCTGTCGTCGTCATTGGTGCCACAGAGAGACACAGGAGAGGAGAGGCTCTGACATGGAGGGAGCGAGCGGCTGTTTGAGCTCAGGCCGCCCGGATCAGCAGGTTGGATGTGCCGCCTGAAGTCTGGAGGAGCCGAGGCATGACAGACGCGGTGGTGAAATCACAATAAAGTTGATATCTTTGCTTTTGTTCTGTGCGTAAAAAGTGATCCGTGCACGTATGATGATTGTGCAACACAGGAGCATCACAGCATCAGCAGCAGCAGCAGCAGCGTCTGTGCCAGTTCAGGGTGGATTACAGAGCAGCAGGCCTCCATCTGAAGCCAGCTTCTGATCAGGAGAGAAAAGAAAACCAGAGAATATTCTTCACCCTGTTGCTGGAGGTAACAATTGATCGTGCTGTTTCTCTGGCGTGGCCCCCCTTGGAGGGACAGCTGTTGCAAAAGATGACTCACCTGCAGGCTGGCCTCTCTCCAGAGACTCTGGAGAAGGCCAAGGTGGAGCTGAAAGAGAATCCGGAGACTTTGCACCAGGACATTCAGGAGGTGCGGGACATGATCATCACCCGGCCGGACATCGGGTTCCTCAGGACAGACGACGCCTTCATCCTCAGATTCCTCCGGGCGAGGAAGTTCAACCACTTCGAGGCGTTCAGGCTGCTGGCTCAGTACTTTGAGTACCGACAGCAGAACCTCGACATGTTCAAGAACCTGAAGCCGACCGACCCGGGGATCAAGCAGGCCCTGAAGGACGGGTTCCCAGGCGTGCTCTCCAATCTGGACCGATACGGCAGGAAGATACTGGTGCTGTTCGCAGCCAACTGGGACCAAAGCAGGTAATAAAGAGTGATGTGCCTGGTGGTTACAGGTTTGTGAAGTCTGGGTTTAAAACAGAAACAGGTCACGCTTCAGGGGAGGGCGACATATGAACTTTTTTTTTTTTAGGGAGCTGTCCATTCAGCACCACACAGTCGATCAGGAAAACTAGAAAAGAAGAATCATGAGCTGCTTTTTCAGCCTCCAGTCTTCTACTTTTAATCCTTCCACTGGAAGTCATTGCATAGCTGCGGTGATTTTCTACCATTCAGCCACCAAAGCTCAGTGGTCTGGCTCAAAATCTGTGTTCCCGGTCAGGTGTGCGATGGTGTTGTCGCAAAAGAACTCGGCAAAAGAAAGTCTGTTTGAGAGAGAGAGAGTTTGGTAACCACTGATTTAAGATGTGAGGTCAATAAAAACATTTTTGGTTGAAACCATTTTCTTAAAATCAAGCATTGTTCGCCTTTTATAAGTTAATGAACACAAAACGTGGCACGTTGTAACTCAGGCCTGTGGCTGTATCATGGTTGTGTAACAATGATCCATTAAAGCAGAAAAGTTGTCATTTTTTACTCAATCATAAGATTATTGGAAGTAGTGGTTCATTTCTCCTCACTGGACATAACTCACCTGATGAATATAATTTCTTTCATGCATTTCTTATTTATATATTATTTTAGTAGTTGTAGAAACTGCACACAGAGATGCAGTAGCTGTTGTCCCACTTTGTTCTTGCACTCGTTCACATCTGTTTAGCTGCCAATTAAGCAACTTAAGAAAGAATATTTATTATATCAAGAGGGAGGCAAGAGGTTTCTCGATAAAGAATCAAAGGAACATGAAGAGGGAGACGAGATAATGAGGGTCAAAGCAAACAGTGTTAAAAAAAATGGTTTAAAAGGGCCCTGAAGTATCAGCTGGATGTAAACCCACTGAGGCAGAAAGAGAACAACCAGCAGCCCCAGAAAACACACGCAGTCACAGCTGACAGCTGTTTTAAACCTGCAAACATCCAGCTGATGTGTTTAAGTTTCTCCACTATTATCTCCCAACACACTAACAACTCGTACAAATGCCTCATTAACTCAGTGATAGATTACACAGTCAAGAGAAGTGACTGGAACGCTTCCTTTTTAAACTCCAATTCACCAAAAACTTGTGATCAGCTCTTCCTAATAAAGAGAAACATTTATGTCTTATCTTTGGTTGTTGTAATTTTGATTTAGTTACCACTCAGTCCATCAAATTGCAACAAATGTTCATTGTTGCCATAAGACCAAGTTGGTGACCAAACTTTTTTCCCCATCCAAATATTGTATCTCCAAATTTATTTGATTGAGAGAAGTACGCTTGCAAGATTCTAATGTGTTAGAAGTTGGGAAACTAGATGGAAACTAGATTTTCAGGCCAAAAGACGTCTTTAAGAAACCTTGTATTGGAACATATTGATTAATGACAGCATAACATAAACATCATCTTTACATGGATCTGTGTC